TGTTGTATCTTCTGAGAAATTAAAAAAAATTTAAATAGCACTTTACAAATATGAGTTTTGTTTTGTGTCATATTTGATGCATTCTGAATTGACTGCAATGTTTTGCCCACAGCATGTTAAAACATCCTCCTGTTAATGTAGAAGTTGGCAATGATTAGGAAGTGAACCTTGGCAACATCCAACTAGTCGATCATCTTGATACAACAGGAAAAATATATTATATAGGCTAAAAATATCAAATTTGCTACTAAATATATCTAATTATGTCAATCTTAAACCTTTTATTACTTATAAATCAAAAGTGTATGTTGCCTTTATTGAATGCATAATGAATGAAATGCAATATATACATAAATATCTATATAATTGCTGTATCTAATTTAAATCACATTTTCAGGATTATAAAATAGGTTTTGAAATAGGAAGACCAGTTGTCTTTGGTCCATCTATCTTTAGCGCCCCTAGTGGTAGCGACCACTGGTCTCTGTTGCAGCGACCAGTATCTTTAGCACCCCTAGTGGTAGCAACCAATGGTCTCTGTGGCAGCAACCAGTGGTCTGTGTGGCCGCGACCAGTATCTTTAACGCCCCTAGTGGCAGCAACCAGTGGTCTGTGTGGCAGCGACCAGTCTCTTAACACCCCTAGTGGTTTCGACCACTGGTCTGTGCGGCCGCGACCACTATCTTTAAGGCCCCTTGTGATAGCGACCATATTAAGAGAAATTAAATTATGACATAAAACCACTGAGCAAAAACAGATAAAAAGTGGGAACTATCATGCACAAATAGCCCCACTTGCGGGGTATTTGAATGAAAAGTTTAGATGAGAATTTTCAGAACCCCTTTTCACTAATCAAAATCTGTTAACATAATGAATCAGCGATGCAAGGGGTACCGCCTTGTTGGATCACACACATATTTGGGACTGCCCAAAAAAAAGTGTTTACATTGCTCCGTGTATCAACAGCTTAATGGCTAAGAAGATGATGACAGCTCTCTCCTGGCTGAGGCCAAAGCTCCCACAGTCTCACAATGGATCTTAATAATTTGCACTTTACAACAGATTAAAATGCAATTTACAATATATAGCCTATTAAAAATTTTATTTTGTTGTGATGGATTGTATTATTATTTCTATTGTTTGTAGAACCTTTCGTATAATGACTTCTGTATTGTAATGACCTACGGTGGACTACAGATGAAGATAAGCTTTCAGAATCAGATTTATTTGCCAGGTATGTGTACACATACGAGGAATTTGACTTTGGATTGTACATTGCTCATGATGTGTTTACTCATACAATAATGCAATAACACAATAATAAAATCAGACCCAGGCTACAGTATAGAGAACACAAATACACACTATAATCAGAAACAAAAACAATTAGACATATTGACAAATAATGCAGTGAGCAGAGTGCAAAGGATTATCTTAAAAACTTAGAGATATATAAGTTAGTTATAAGTATATACTTATAAACTTATTATTATTAATTATGTACATGTCAGAGGTGGATGTGATATAGAGGTACACATACTCCTACATGCATACACATTTACACTACACAGTGCGATGGAGCGTAGTGCAAAGGATGCCGCAATAAGTAAGTAGTTTGTGCAAGCGCAAAGCTTTGTGGCTAAATCTAACATATTAGCACTACAATCATAATTAATATGCTGTTTCCCTTTTAAATAAATAACATTTATGTCCAGGGACTGCCCGGTAGGACATTTATGCCTGTGATGTATCGATGAATAACTACTTGTAGGCCTGCTTGTTGGTAACAAACTGCAGTATACAGCAACAATAAGAGTAGCCATAATCGATAACATAGTATATTTAAGAAAATATGATCTAGAAATATTTTTATCTGTAGATATATCCACACAAACTGTAAACAGTGCAATAATAAATAACTCAGACCAGTGGTCTGTGTGGCAGCGACCAGTGGTCTGTGTGGCAGCGACCAGTATCTTTAGCGCCCCTAGTGGTAGCGACCAGTGGTCTGTGTGGCAGCGACCATTCTCAATCATCACATTCTCAATTGAGTGCAATGAATAATACGAAGTTCGGTAACACATAACGTAAGCCTATAAAAACGCTAGCTTGCTCTACACAACCAATACTACATAAAACAATACTAAAACGATAGATTAAACAATCCACATGGTATATTTTTCATTCACTTTGATGAAGTCGAAGGTCTGCCTTCACCGCTGAATGCACGCGCGCTCCTGCGGCAGGGGAAACACTTTCTGTCAGGGATAACTACCTTGGCACGACAGATACTATGCGATTCTGTGGAGTTTGTTGATAAATAAACTCATGGACGCGCATTGTCATGGTAACCAGTCCTACTCTGCTGAAATATGGTAGAATCCACAGCATCTGCTGTCCGAGAGCAGGTTAGCCTCAATAAGAGGGCATGTTTTAGCAGTACTGTAGAAGGTGTGACAACAAGCCTGACAGTATTTAAATATTTATTGAAGCAAAATACTTTGCTAAGCCTAAATCTGCTAACAAACAGGAAGTAAGATACGGAGTCTAGTTTATTTATTGGTAGGATTATCGAGAGGAACGTCAATAGTTACAATTAGTGAATAACTAAAAACAAATTTTGGGCTAACCTCCTTCACTCTTTATTAAACAGTTAGCAGCAACACACAGGTGCTCCTCTTTAGTCCTGAGAAGCTGCAGTCTTTATTCACCAGCCGCTGTAATTTACTGCTGACCCGTTTCTCTCTATTCACCGGGCTCTGTTTACACACAAGCTCTGTCTATTTCTCCTCTACCGCACACATACTGACCACTGAGCTAAGCTAACAAAGCTAACCAGCTGGGATCATCACAAACATGACTACAGACAGACAAGACCTAGTCCTTTATGTGGAACAGCAAAGCTAACGTTAGCTTACTTTTCACTTGCATCATCTTGTCACAAGATCTCTGACGTAATTGCTGACGTAATCTGCACTCTACGCATGCGTTGGCGTCTGTAGCCACCTGTCGGAAGCTCCGTCTTAAACGGAACTCTTATCCAGTTTTAATCCACTCTTTTTTTTTTTATATATCCTTTTTATTTAACTTAAGTTTTACGTGGGTTAAGGATTTTAGCCATCCAACATGGATTTTAAGCTAGATGACCGTAAAAACGCGATCAACGCTACTGATCGCAACAAAACTCCGGTGACTATGCTAGCCGAGATAACTCTGCCCCTTGAGGACTTTACACTCCTTAAGAAAGCGAACAAGAAGATTGCTGACCTTATGGAAGACATCCGACGACTTTCAGAGGAACTCAAAGAGAAAGATTCCCTGCTGACTGGCTTTATGGATGTGGCTTCAGTACAAGCCAAACAGATTGTTTCTCTTAGCGCAACCGCTAACATCCAGGACACCGTGTTTTGGGACACCTTTACCCTTCCACGGCTTTCCTCTTGCTCGACTCCGAAGCATCAGTCAACCTGGGCACATCGGCCGCTATGCAGCCTTGTCTAACGACACTCCGGTCCATCCAGCTGATGCACCTGCGGCTTCGAGTCTCCCTGATACGGATCTCTTTCGGCGCACAGTGCCTGCCGACACTGTTGCATCTCCTCCACCGGCTACATCTCCTGCACTGGGCCGCCGGTCTGCCACCGGGCCTGATCGGCGGCCGTCATCCCGGTCAAAAACCTCCACTTCCCGACGTAGGATCCTGAAGGAGGCTGTGCTCAGACGCTCCGGAGGCCGTCTCTACCCTGCACCGTCGGGTAGCCCTTCTCTCAGGTCTGTTACTGCTACTCCAACACAACACTCGGCAGCTCAAACACTCCATCCTCAGTCCGCACGCAGTGTTGAAGCAGATTCTGCTCAGTCCTGCTCTGGAACCACACAACCTCCATAACCAGAAACCTCCGTTTCTTTAACGCTACCACTCACTGCTTCCCCGGTGCCACCACAGCTGACATTTTAAAAAAACTCCAGGACCTGATGCCGTCCTCCATCACAAGAGTGATAGTCCATGTGGGAACAAATGACACAGCTCTTCAGCAGTCTGAGCTGACAAAATCAGATTCTTTTTAACTTTTTAAAGCAGTGTGGAAAGTCCGTTTTTATCTCTGGTCCCATTCCCACAGTCGGTCGCGGTGCTGGCCGCTTCAGTAGACTCCTTGGCCTCCACGACTGGCTCCAGTCCGCCTGCGGGGCTCATCGTGTGTGTTATGTGGATAATTTTAAAATTTTCTGGCAAAGAATGTCTCTTTTTAAGACAGTCGGACTTCACCCAAACAAACGGGGCTCAGAAATGTTAGCTGCTCACATACAGCATGTGGTGCGGTCCACACATGACTTACGTGAATGACTAATCATTCATGCAGCACACCTGGACACACCACCGCTCACTGAACAGATCTCTGCCTCACTGAACAGATCAACTGTCTCCACCTGCTGGCATGTAAAGCCGTCTGCTCCCAGCGCTGTTCCACAGACTTCTATTCCTGTCATCATCACGCATAGACCAGTAAACCGAAATGTGCACATCCCACACAGAAATATTAGTAATCTCTTAAGGATTAGGACAACTGCACCAACTCCAGCACCCAGAACAAACTCATTTAAAATGTCTCTCTTCAATGTGAGATCACTTTCAAGTAAGACTTTTATCTTAAATGATTTTATCTTGTCTGCAAGTCTAGATTTTATGTTTTTAACTGAATCCTGGTTGCAAATGAATGACTATAGCCAGCTAGCTGAACTGTGTCCGCCTCAATATGATTGTTTTAGTCAACCGAGGGTCAGTGGTCGTGGTGGTGGGCTAGTGAGCGTGTATTCATGGATTTCAGTCACGTGACTTTTTTGTTGTGGCCGCCATCTTTAAGACCGCTGCGCAGCCCCTCCTTCGTTAGAATGAATGATGTCGCACACTAAAATAGCACACCTCACCACCGACTAAAAGCAACGGTATTTGAAGAAGGTTGATACGTTAGGTTTCGATCCATATCTACTGTCCAGTCAACTGCTGACTCCACTAAAGTCTAGCAAAAACCTGCCAAATTTGACGTTTGCTGATATTTACATTTACCTCGTCCACAATCCATCTCCATACACCGGGGAAGCCCTCAAGGCGTTTAAAAGCACCGGAGCCTACCGCTACTTCACCTCAGGATGGGTTAATGATCCCAAAATTCATCATCTGGAGATGAAGAAAATGTTCTTGATCACAGGAAGGGTAAGTGGCAGTGTCTTATTCAAGTGATATTAACATTAACGTTATTCAAGCAAATAGCAACATAACATAAATCAACCACTACTGTAAATATAGCTTTTGCTAGATGTCTAGAATAACATTATGTCCCCATTTTAAACTACATGTTTTAATCTAGCAAGCTAACATGTAGTTTGTTAACTTCTGGTTAAAATTTTGCAGGTGAAGCATTCACAAAGCCTCAGTGTAACCCCAACACACCCCTGGATCACAGTACAGGATGATGGGACTGTTTTAATGGCTCATTGTACCTGTAAGGCAGGTTTAGGAGAGGTATGCTCACATGCATCAGCTCTGCTATATTGTGTGTTGGCTGCTGTTGATATCAGGGACGGGCAGGCTTGCACCCAGAAGCCCTGTGCATGGGCACAGCCAAGTACGGCGTCTGTCAGAGATGTCCAATATGCAGAGATCCAAAACATCAATTTCTGTCATAACCGAGAGCCCCGTCATGTTCAAGGCCCTGTTTTCCTGATATTAGACCATCAGATGAAGAGTGCAGGATGTTTTGAGGTGCTTCATCAGAGTGAGAAGCAAGAGTCTAAGCCAAAGAAAAGTGCCATCCTTTCTGTCATTGAGGGCCACTCCCACAGGTACACAGTGGTGAAATGTAATTAAATACATCCAATAACATGATGTATACTTTAATGAAGTATATTGAGGCTTGTACTTTTAATTCCTTGGTCTAAGTATACATTTTACTGCAGAAGTTTCACGTCACAGCATCTTTTTGCTTAAGTCAAATATCTGGGCACATCTTCCACCACTGTAGGTACACGCCAAAGGTGATGCAGCTGGACTTGCCCACTCCTTTGTCAACCTTACATTCAAGCACCTGGCTAGAGGTAGACCTGCCCACACTACTGGTTGAGACTTCCAAGGTCTTTGATAACCTACATCTGACACAGCAACAGGTAAATATTATAAAAACAGGTTGGTGTTAATATTTCCATTCATCTCTTCAGTTGAAAATCAGAGTAATCACTAGTAAAATTATTTCTGCCTGTGAAGTTGAAATTCATGACAAGTCAACTAACTAATGAACAAACTAATGTTTCCAGTGTTTGGTAGTTGAGGAGGAGACCAGGGAGCAGAGTAAAAGTAGGATTTGCTACCCGCTCTCTTCTCAGTTTTCCACTGAGGCAACAAGGTGCGTAGAGTAAAGTACAATTAAACATGAAGGTTGGATTTGTGTAGCCATGATGTAACCAGGTTAGCTATTCAAGTCAATGAGAAGAATCAGATTACAAGCAAATTATAAGCAAAGGCATTTATGAGTGGTCAGAGTGCAACACATTTAGGTAAATGTTGATAGGCATTAAATGTCATTCAGACAAATACAATACAATTTAATAAACAGTTTATATTTCAATTTTTGTCAGATGGGGTCAAGTGAATGAGTGAAGAGCAAGGGCAAACTATGTCGCTATGACGCAAGATCACCACGAAGACTTCCAGGTCCATCAACAACTAAGAGATGAATGATATGTTCATAGGGCTGGGCGATATAGAGAAAAATGTTATCACATTTCATTTCATTCAATATTGATTATTCTCATGATAATGTGTCATGTCATGTCAAATTATTATTTCTTTCAAGCTTAAAGGCAGATTTTTGCTCCAGAGTGAAAGTTGAAGAAACCAGGTGGTTAATTTTGGTTCTAAACTATATTTTTATGGTCAGAATGTGACAAACACTTGATGACAAACCGTGGATAACTTCACAAATCTGAGGCAGAACATTCAAAATTATTATGATACAATCTTTTTTCAACAAATGTGTTTTAGTAAAATTAAGTAAAATCTTTTTTAGTTCCTTTTCTTAAAAAATATTAATGCAAAGTAAGTAAAAGTGCTAATTTCTTTGTGATTCAAATGAATTAAATCAAACATTTATTGAACACATTTGTTATATTGTTATTGAGAAAAAGTGTGTGATAATTATCATTATTGTTTTATTGCCCAGCCCAATATCTACATCCTATCAAGATCTGTACACAGTTTATCATTATACTGTTTATACCTCCAGGTTCATGCATCAGGGTTCATCATCCACCCAGACCTCCCCTGGATTGGAGCATCACCTGACGGCATAGTAACATGCACGCCTTCACCATGGCAAGTGCATGATAAAAGAGATAAAATGCTCATTCAACAGCAGGGACTGCTCACTCGCTGAAAGCTGCAAACACCCATCATTCTGTTTAGGCCTCAGAGTGGATGGGACAATGTCACTTAAGACAGACCACAAGTTCATGTATCAAGTGCAAGTTCAAATGCATGTGGCCACTGTGAGTTACTGCGATTTCATGGTATGGACGCCGCAGGAGTTTTTCATCCAGCGGATCCAGTATGATCCTGTTTTCTTCCCTAACGCCTACCTCAAAGTGGCTGAATTCATCAAAACTGGAGTACTTCCAGAGCTGCTGGGGAAATGGTATACAGCACCACGGAATTCTCATACAGACAGGGCAACCACAGAACAGCCACCTGAAATGGGATGCTACTGCAGTAAACCTTGTGACACAGATGACATCACCTGCACATCTGGACAGTGTAGGCGGAAGCACTTTCACAGGTCTTGCCTTAAATTGAGCAGGGTGCCGAAGACATGGAAATGTGTGGAGTGCAGAAAAAAAGTGTAGTATTGCTTTAGTTTTTGATTTATCGGTTTCATCTTTTATTTGCTTAAATATCCTTTCAACATAACATTCATTGTTATGAACTGATTGTTATGAAATAGTAAAGATGAATAAGAGCTATGTATTTTACTGCCAGCTGTTTTGTTTTATAGCAAATAAAGTTACAAAATACAAAAACAGTTCATATTTTGTGTTACACTTAAATTTTCTATTCTGTGTACTTGTTCCTCCCGAGACCAATTACACGTTCTACATGAATCCGAACAGCTGCTAGTCCCCTCGTAGTCTCAAGTTCACTTGGGTGCAGTTGCTTCCCTTTAGTGAAGGCAGGTATTTTGAGATGAGCACTGTACAAGCCCACGGCATTTTTTATGGTAAACCCTCGATCTGCTAGGACCACATCATGACAGATGTTCCAGGTAGCCGCAGTTTTGGGTTATGTGCTTATCACTTGTTCGCCCCCCCCCAACCAGTAGACACAAATTATATGACTCCCTGTGGAGTTATTGATATCAAAAACTTCACAGTATTATGATGTTTATACTGTGAATATGTTTGTGCTCGGGCTCTCATGTTCTTAGGCTTCTCAATGAAAACTTCAAAGCAATCTATTATGGAAGTACAATTTCTGTAACTACTGTTTTTGAAACACATGGGTAAACTAATTTGAATCTGTCCCTTAATGGGCCACACTATGAATGAAGACAACCTACTGTACATTATATTTAGTGTATTATTAAAAATACGGCTTACAGTAGGCTTTGATACAAGAAATATGTATGTGAGGAAGTGCAGTGGTAAATTCAATCTCATTCTCATTAGAGTCATTAATAAGCAGTGAAAAGGAGAGATCCCAGGCCCCCCCTTTAGGTATCCCGGCAAGAAGGTAAAGATGACCATCATCTTGGCATAGGATGGGAGTCCAGTTAAGTCCTGCACCATGTCATCATTGTCCTTGAAGGCCTCCTGCTGGAAAGATGACCTTCTTACCCTGTCCTGAAGCTGATAGACCTCTGACCTCAATCTGGTACACTCTTCAGTCAGTTTCTTTACAGCTGCTTGGCAGGCTTCATTGGAGCATACTACACTGCTCTCAGTATCGATGGGGTCTTTACAGTAGCTGTGTTCCCCACTCTGCCCGCTCTCAGGAACGCTGTCACAGCAGTTAATGTCCATGTCAATAACGTTACTGTTATCACAGTGTGACATTGTCAGATCGTCCTGGGTATACCTTCTCTTCCTTTTGACAGCTTGGGTTTGTTCAAATTTCTTGTGGCAATTGATTTTTTTTTGGCGGTGCTCAAGTGACAGGTATGCAAACAGACTTGGCACGTATTCGGGGCTCAGAGGATTATCACTTTTCTTGCCTGCAGTGTTATGAGACACAAACAACACAATGACATTACCTAATTTGAAAAAAATACTCGAACATTGGATATAGATTATAGAAATTTAAATTTGTCTGCAAAGCCATCGACATAGGTTACCTATTTTAATTAGTCTGAACACGTTCATTATTATGGATCTGGTGCTAATGTTAGGATAGCTAATGTTTGCTAATGCTGACGTTAGCTTAGCGATACGTACTTACCCAAAATAAAGTGCTCACTGCACAGCCTGGAGTTTTCTGTAGGAGTCCAGTGATCCCTCCTGATAACAGCAATCCATTTCTCACGACGCTCAGGGTTTTTGGGGATATTGTAAAATGTTAATCCATTACTTTTAGATTTGCTGTTATCACAGCCCACAGCACAGCAGATAGACGGCATTTTGGTACTCGGTCCTACAGATGGCGCCACGACCACTGTGTGACGTCACATGATATCTAAGAATAGGAAAAATTTTAAATGTTATCAAGTACGCTGTGATGAATTTAACTCCTTTGAAGTTCTCACTCTTAAAGTTGGAGGGCTGCAACCTATCATATTTGTTATAATTTATCGCCCCCCAAAACCGCCTGGAGGATTTTTAGCAGAACTTCCTGAATTTTTATCTACTCTGGTTTTAAATTATGACAGAATTGTTCTTTGTGGCGATTTTAATATTCATGTTGATGACCCCACCAATCTTAATGCAACTGACTTTTTAAATATGGCCACTTCTTTTAACTTCAAACAACATGTCAAAGGGCAAACACATAACCATGGTCATACACTGGACTTGGTTTTTACCCTGGGTGTCAGCATTTCCTCTGTGGAATTAGTGGACATGACCATATCTGACCACAGATGTATTGTTTTTAGCTGTGATTCGCCTGTTACTCATGCCGCCTCACCAAGCTCCGTGTGTTCTCGCATCTTTAATGTAAACAAAGTGTTTCAAAGTTTTGCACATTCTTTCAGAGCCAAAGCCAAAACCTGTCTGATTCCAACACCAACAATCTGGTCGATCACTTCAATCATATCTGCTTGTCGTCACTAAATATTACTGCTCCTCTAAAGGTTAGGCCTACGTCTAAAGCTAGTAAGCAACCCTGGATAAATGACAGCATTCGCAGCCTCAAAAGGGAATGCAGGAAAGCAGAGCGCAGATGGAAAAAATCCAATCTCCAAGTCCATTACCTCAGTCTGAAGGATTTATTAATTAACTACAATAAAATGGTTAAGGATGCGAGAACACACTATTTTTCTGAACTCATTACTACACATAAACACAATCCCAGGTTTCTGTTTAAGACTGTGGATCAGCTGGTAAACCCAACCCCTCCTTGTGCCTCAGCTGGAAGTAATGATGACTGTGAATTGTTTTTATCTTATTTTACCAATAAGGTGGTGTCAATCAGAGCCTCTATTACCCCCGCGGCCTCTTACTCAGAGGTTCCTCACCAGCAACAAGAGAGTTTTAACCAGTTTTATCACATCGACTTGTCTGAGCTTTTAAAAACAATATCACAAATGAGAGTGTCCTCCAGCCCACTTGATGTAATACCTACAAAATTTTTACTGAAAGTAATAGATTCTGTTGGGCCCCATTTGATCTCTGTTTTCAACAGCTCCCTATCTACTGGTTGTGTCCCTGATTATTTTAAAACGGCTTGCGTGAACCCACTTTTAAAGAAACCTGGTTTAGATCTCTCCCTCCCACAAAATTTTAGACCAATTTCAAAACTGCCTTTTATTGCAAATATTCTAGAAAGAATTGTGTCCAAACAGCTGCTCACTGTGCTGGAAAATAACAAATTATTTGAAAAGTTTCAGTCTGGTTTCAGGAAGTACCACAGCACTGAGACTGCCCTGCTTAAAGTCACCAATGACCTTTTAATGTCTGCTGATGAAGGCATGTGCTCAGTCCTTGTGCTCCTGGACCTTAGCGCTGCTTTTGACACCATTGATCACAACATCATGTTAGACAGACTGAGGCACTGGGTGGGGATCTCTGGTACTGCCCTAGAATGGTTTTCATCCTACCTGTCAAATAGGAAGTTTTGCGTGTCTGTAAACAACTATGTCTCCTCATTCTGTCCTGTTTGCAAAGAACCTTGGTGTTTGGTTTGATAGTAATTTAAATTTCGAGCAGCACACCACAAAGCTTGTTCAATCATGTTTTTATCAACTTAGAAATATAGCTAAAATTCGATCTATGTTAACTTTTAAGGACACCAAGACCATTTTACACGCCTTCATCTCATCACGCCTGGATTATTGCAACAGCCTTTTCACCTGTTTAACCCAAAAATCTATTGATCGACTCCAGACTGTCCAGAACTCAGCTGCCAGGCTTTTAACCAGAACAAAGAAATATGACCACATTACTCCTATTTTAGCTTCATTACTCTGGCTCCCAGTATGTTTTAGAATTGACTTTAAAATTCTATTGATCACTTTTAAAGCTCTTCATGGCCTCTCGCCTTGTTATATTTCTGACCTTTTAGTCCCATACGCACCAGCACGTACCTTGAGATCCTCGGGCAGAGGTCTGTTGTCTGTTCCAGAGTCTCGACTGAAAACTAAAGGGGACAGAGCGTTTGCTGTCAGGGCCCCGAGGCTCTGGAACAGCCTGCCCGAGGAAATCAGGTCGGCTGAGTCAGTGAACTCTTTTAAGTCCCTTCTTAAAACATACTTTTATAGGAGAGCCTTTCCCGATCTTATTTGACTTTATTTTATCCCTTTTATTATATTATATTTTACTAATTTTATATTAATTTTTCTTGCTCTTATCTTGTTTTTTTGTATTATTGTCTTTACACTTGTTAAAGCACTTTGTAACTTGTTTTTGAAAAGTGCTCTACAAATAAGGATTATTATTATTATCATTATTATTATTATTATCTGTCCAGCAGAAACACCAGCAGGGGCTAGCTCAAATAGTGGCATCGGCAGCTACCCTACTGCACCCACAATTGTATAACGCAGGGCTGCCTCCTGTGAGTTGGTATTGGACGACCTAGGCCAGGAGTATCACAAGCTACCAGGACGGACTGATTGCTCGCTAATGGACTCAGTATAGCCTAGTAGTGGGATTGTTCTATGTGGAGTCAGCTCAAGTGTGTTATATCTGTAAATTTTTACTTTTCTTAAATAAATTAGTTAATCTATGGTAAACTGTGTTCTGGACTCAGGATGCTGATTGGTGTGGCTGCTCCCCAACAGAACATTTAGGTTGCATTTGAGCACGAACCTCCCCTCGGTGGCATCACAGGGGCCCGGCAAAAAAAACACCTCGGCCCTGTATTCCCTACCGTCAAACTAGTCACAGTGATCAGTCACTGGGAGCTGGATGAAGGGGTGGGGGAGCGTAATGCAAATTCAGCGCTATTGGCAACTGTAAACTCTAATCAATATATCAGTATAAGTCCCTTTTTTATTTTTATTTTAAAAATACACAGAAGCAAAAAGCACTCTGCTTTCTGTTTCATAGAATAATCAAACAATTTTTATTAAAATCCTTTAAATGTTATAAGAAGAAAATTAAGTTGTTCTTCCCTGTTTGAATAAATACTCATAATACAATTAATGAAGTAAAAGTGTTACAGATGACGAAATGTTATATGGGACATTGCTAATGATTTTTGATCTGGTAGTATTACTTCTGCAAATTTGTGTGTGTGTACCAGTGTGAGTGTGTGGTTGTGTGATTTTTCTGAGCTTCTGCTTCTGAAACAAATGTTGAAATAAAGAAATGTTCTTCTTTCAGAAGACTTCAAACAAATCAAAGTTTTACTGTTCATCAAATAACTTTATTAGCTTTTCAGAGCAAAGCGTCACCTTACTAACGAATCACATTTGTGTTCAACTCTGATTTTGGAACAGGGAACACTGTAGAACAAACATAAAGGATTCTATTGATTATTGACTTTACAGAAACATGCATAAACAGCACTTGATAAAGTTGTTGCCTGCTGTAGTTTGTTAGCTTTTGTTGAAGGAAATTTAATAAATGATTCTGTAGAAACTGACCCTGAGAGTTTTTGTTCCTGTTGATAAAGGACATGTCAGGAGTTGAAGAGACCGTGTGGATTAATAGTGAAGCTGAAACGTGTCTGAATTTGAGGCCCAGTAGTTACTTTTTTCATACACAGTTTTAATGATTTAGCGTGAAGATAAAGTCCTGCTCTGGGGGAGAATTTTGACACACAAACTGAATTGTTGTTCTGCAGAATTCTTGTGTCATAGTTAATGGATGTGGAGATTATACTTTTATTCTGAAGGATTTGTACCGGAAGTTTTGTTGTTATTGCAGCTTGCAGATTTTTTCGAAACCGAAAGTGTTTCTGATGAGCCAATCAGCCGTCTGCGGTCTCTGCAGCTCCTCTAAATAGAGATGTTAGAGTGCTGCGATGTTCAGTCCTCAGCAGACATCCACAGCCATGGAGCTTCTTCCTCTCCTGTATCTCCTCCTGAGCTGCTCTGCAGGAACGTCTGCTGATCAGAACGGTAAGAAACATGTAAAGATGCAGGAGTCTGGAAACAGTATATGAAAAAGGCTGCTAGTTTAGTAGAAATCCTTGGAATAATATAATATGTGTAATAATAATTGAGTACGGATCAATATTAAATCATCATCCTGTACAACACATGTGATTTGATTACTGCATCTTTCTGCTTAATTACAGAATTAATTATATTCTGTAACAGACCTGCTCAGTATTTGTGTTAGTATTCATGTTTAGAGCTGCAGGGGTGGTTTATAACTTCCGACGTGGCGTCATTACTTCTGCAGGGGGGGGGGGGGGGGGTGCAGGGCGGCGTCTCCATCCTGTGGTGAGAAAGCAAAGCACGGATGTGTTGAAGACGAATCTTTATTTCCGAGAATCTCTTCTTCTTTCAAACCTGATTGGTTGTTGCACCGTTGCTCTGGTTACTCTGATTATGAAACACAAGTGTGTCCGCTGATGTGAAGGTTTTTAAAAAAAAAAAAAGCTAAAGTAGAAACCACAAGCAAAAAGAAATTCATGTTCCCCACCTGCACTGAATTCAGATACAGGCAGTCAAGCAGAATATTCACATCATTGTCTCTCTGTCTGCCGAACGTTATATTAATAGATGCAAGTGCAATAAAACAAAAAAACAAAAAACGTCTCAATCATAAACATAGGTATCATTTACACTGGGGACATGTCCCCACCACTTTTTGAAATGGCTGATTTGTCCCTAAAAAAGGTTTATTTGCACATTAAGAAAACATGCAGTTAAAATATAGACAAAACAGTTGTGCATGTCCAAAAAAAGCAACTTAAGATAAAAAAAACAAACATAACTCGTAACTTCTTGATACAGTTTCTTTTTGGCCAAGTTTTCTGTTCTCTCCTAGTGAATATGACAAAAGAGGAGGGAAGACTGAATCATGCCTACATGTGTTGCCTCAGCAGGGATGATATTAGCTACATGAGAAAAGTGGATTTACAGTAGAAACAGATCTGAAAGCAGCACAGACTGCCTGAGAGCTGCACTGACTTAGATTCTGTTATATTTATATATTTTGAAATGTCACATGCCGCCTGAATTTTTGCGTTTCCTTTTACATAAATAAAAACATTTCCACTAAATTGGTGCAGAAAAATTCACCAGAATGCAGGAAACGAAGTGTTTAATGATCAATATTTCCTGGGGGAGGTCCCACCAGACCTCATATATCTTGGCAGTGAGGATATCTTTAAAACACTGTTCAGGGATCTTTTCGTCTCGTTCTCCAGAACCTAATATGGTGGATCGTGATATCTCGCGAGCTAAGTGTCTCTTCACACCCCTAAACTGAGCCCCTATGTCCCCACCACTTTTCACGTCATATACACCTGTCCCTGTTTGAAATGGCTGATTTTGTCCCCTTTAGTTTTTAGTCCAATTCAGTTTTATTTATATAGCGCCAATTTATATCAAAAATCATCTCATTGCATTTTACATATAGAGCCGGTCTAGACTGGCAGAAACCTCGAGCACAACCATGACTCAAGGTGGGCGGACATCTGCCTCGACCGGTTGGGAGGGAGGGGGGGGGGGCATTGGTGCAGAAAATGAATTATGGTACTGATAATTATAGTAATCTTAATGATAATAATAATAATAATAGGACTCAGCGGATGTTGTGCAGGAACACGGGGGCAGCAGGTGACCCGCAACCACAGATCCAGACTCCACAGCTCCAGAGCCAGAAAACCTGCAGGAAGTGACAGGAGGAGAGAGGAGAGGGACGAGAAAGCACAAGACTACCGGAAAGGGGAGAAGTCGAGTTAGTAATATGTATTAATGGGATGAGGTTGCATACAGGAGAGAAAGTAGAGGAGAGAGGAGCTCAGTGCATCATGGGAAATCCCCCGGCAGTCTAGGCCTATAGCAGCATAACTAAGGGATGGTTCAGGACTCACCTGAGCCAGCCCTAACTATAAGCTTTATCAAAGAGGAAAGTCTTAAGCCTACTCTTAAATGTGGAGATGGTGTCTGCCTCCTGAACCCAAACTGGAACCTGGTTCCACAGGAGAGGAGCTTGATAGCTGAACGCTCTGGCTCCTAGTCTACTTTTGGAGACTCTAGGAACCACAAGTAACCCTGCATTCTGGGAGCGCAGCGCTCTGGTGGGGTAGTAAGGTACTATGAGCTCTTTAAGATAAGATGGTGCCTGACCATTAAGAGCTTTGTAGGTAAGAAGATGGATTTTAAATTCTGGATTTTACAGTGCAGAGGCCAGTCCTTTATCTGATGCAGCCAGAAGATCATTTGTAATTTTCCCCAGTCTCTCTGTGCTTTGATTTAAAAGCATAATTTGTTAAAAATGATCTGAAAAATAGTTAGTTTGTTGTCATATTTTATGGCAGTGATATTGGATAGGCCTGTTGTTATCACTGGGCTCACTTACATGCACTGATGCTTTCTGTACAGTAGATGTGGGCTTGGCGTTATTCGATTGACATGGTGTTGCAGGTGTGGATGTGATGGATGACTGTTACTCGTGAGGTCAACATTATTGTGCGTTTCTATTATTTTCTTATTGTCGACTCTGTAGTAACCTACACTAATCCCGACTCCCACGTTTTTTCATCTGAGCCCTTATGTCCAACTAATTTCCTACCATAAGGCACCTTATCATGTTTTATCCCAGAGGGCCCCGTGTCCACCAGTGAAGACCGATCATATCTGTAATTTGGGTTATAGAAGCAGGCTGATGATGAAATCTGTGTTCCTGCTATCTGAGTGTAGTTCAGAGGTTTGTTCTTGTCTTTTTGCTTACAAGACTTTGAAATCATGATGAAGTAAATTAAGTTAAGTTTGACTTTTAGTTCTGGGTTTTCCTCGTCGCTCTCTCTTGTTTCCTCTTCCTTCTTGTTAGTGTGCTGAGTGTGCAGACAGAGACAGTCTGAGTCAGTGCTGATGTTCGTCATCACCTGGGAAAAAAAGAGTTAAATGTTATTAATTATTAATGCTGAGTTTGTGCTTAAAGACGAGTGTGACTAAGTGAATAAGGTTTAGAAAAAAGATATGAAAAATTATAACTATGTCTGAAAATATCTGGAGGACAAAGTGCTCGACAAGGTCAAAGAACAAGAAACGTTTCTTGTTATGAGTAACAGCATACTTCTTAATTAAATTAATTGTAAACAAACTGATTAGTTTTTTTTTTATCTTCCAGGTCCAGTGATCGTGAAAGAAGAAAGTGATGCTATTTTACCCTGTTCCCTCAGCACCAAGAAGGACATTGAGTCAGAGCTCTTTGACTGGAAGAAGAAAGGGCAGAAAAATAAAGATGTGTTCTTGTACAATGACAAAGCCTTTTATGGTCATGGCCTTTCAGGTCAAGATGAGCAGTTCAAAGGTCGCGTCTCACATTTTCCAGATGAGCTAAAGTACGGCAACGCCTCCATCATCATAAATACGAAGGCGTCTGACAGTGGAAACTACACCTGTGTTTTTCCAGATCTTCAGCAAAGTCCAGTCCTCATTGAGCTTGTTGTTGGTGAGTGTTTTCATTAAACAGTTAAAGATTTATTTACTGATGTGACTGGTTTAAGAGTCCCAGATGGACTTTAGTCAAGTAGTCAGAATAAACATCTGGCAGGGCCTCGTCCCCACAGAGCTGCAGCCACATGTGGAGAGATTACCTCTCTATCAGACAGGCTTCATGTTTGTGACGTATTTCTGATTATGATTTTACGCAATATTACCGTTGTGTCAAGCTGATAATATTTCACAGGCGCTCTAACATTTGTTCTGTTTTTCCTTTTAGATCGTATCTTAACCTCTTGGAGCTTATTTTAATTATGTGGATTTCTGTCTCTTAATTCCTGCACCTGTTAAACTGAATAATAATAATACCAGGAGGAGCTGATGCCTGTCCTTTACATCACTGTTAAAGCAAAACTTCTGAGGTTTCATTAGGTGTTTTGATCCTATTTAGAGATCTGAAAGAGCTGAATTGGTAAATGATTAAATAGAAAACAATAGAAGTTCTCTTGTTCTTTCCCTCTAACTTCATCTTTCAAATACAGTAAATCAGTGATAAAATGTTGTATCAGGCTGAAATTCACAGGATCTCTTCCTCCACTTGTCTTTAATGTCTGAACCAGATTTTAGGTTGACAGACTGAAGTGGCTCTGAGATATTTTAGAAAGTGCAGTACAGAGCGTCTCCAGCAGATGTCTACAGAGCTCTCTAAAACTTCTCCAAACTTACCAAATAACGATAATAAATCTCTTTGTTATATTATAAAAACGTTTCTAAGTGTTAAATTTAACAAATAAAATATGTTTATAATATATAAATACATATTTACATATTAATGATGATTGAATCTCTCCTCTCTGAACATATAAATAAAGTTTCTCTGTTGTCTCGGTGTCCCGCTACCGCAGGAAGTCCGACTACAGTAACTTCCATATATGGTCAGACAGGTGATTCTTCCGGCTACAGACTCACCGTGTTTTCACGGTGCTGACTTACCATTGGATGAAAGTGTAGGTCATTTAAACACACGTGGTGATCGCGTAAAGATGCTCTCCGCTGATTGGCTGTCGGAGTTAAAAGCCCGTTAGCTTCGTCACTTTAGGTCGTAGAAAGATGCTGATTGGTTCGTTTTGTTCCTGGGCGGTTACTGATTTCAGAGATACTGAACATCATTGGTCAAATATTTTGTCGCTACTTTAAATTGACAGAAATCACTTTGTTTTGGAAGTTTGACGAGCGGCGCTAAAAATAAACGAGCGACACAATCGACTTTTATTCAGGTTATTTTACTTCCGCTTGAACTTTAACGAGCTGGATTCACTCGGTGGACTTTTGTTCTTTAAAACGAGCCTCTGTTTGTCTGTAAATGTCTGTTTTTCGACCTATAAATCCATTTTAACTGCAGCTACACAGGATAGCAGGTAAGATGCTAACTGTTTACTGCCGTAAAGTAAGACGCTGCTGTTGTCATGTCGTAACTTCTTCAGTTAGTTTGTTAAATCCGTTGAAAAAACGAACCTCTGAGCTTTAAAACGAGCTACAACATGTCTGAGTTCATATCTGCCGTCAACAGGAAAACACGCTGTTTGTTTATTTATTAATGTTTACATGGAAATCTGGGTCGCGTGCAACCTCCGCGCCAGAAAAGATTAAAGGACAGATCAGCTGAAAACATCCCAGGTGAGTCCTTTGATGACGTCACTGATCTCTACATCACCTGCAGGGGCGTTTTTAGGATCTTGAAACATTGGGGGCTTAGCCCAGCCCATAAAACTTCATATCTTCACATAATAATTGACCCTCCACCAAGCAGTAAAGCAACAGTAAACATCCTCTACTTATACAGCACAACAGAACTCACAACAACACTGTTAACTGTGTCATGTCTGCTAAATTGTAATGTTGTGTGTAAATCAAATAATATAACAACAAAACTGCAACGGTATGGGGGGGGGGTGAAACACTTAATTTCCTACATTCTGGTGTTTTTCTACACCAAATTCTGCCTTTTCTGCATCTATTTATTGATACACATAAAATTCAGGTAGCCTGCAGAGGGCTGTATCTTTGTTTCACTGTTGCTTTTAAATTACTTCAAGGCTGGCAATTCTGCCTTCAGATGTTATGACTGATTACTCGTTTGGTTGATTATTTATTTCCATCTCAAATGTGCAATTACTGCTGCCTGCCTTGGCCAGGACACTCTTTTTGTGTGTGTGTTTTTCTGGTTTAATGAAAGTATAATAAAACAATTTAAAATCTAAAACTGTAACAGAATATAATGCAGAGCAGCTCTCAGGCATTCTGGGTTACTTTCAGATATGTTTCTCCTGTAGATGAACTTTTTATATCATTACTGCTCAATCAACACAGGCAGGCGGGACTGATAAGGTAATCTCTTTAAATGTGCACGTGGCACCTTTTTACCTCAATAATAAATTAAATCAGTTTTAATTCAGTTAAAAACTCCTGGACTCCTGTGTTTCAGCACGTTTTCTGCTCATGTTCAAAGTTCTGCACATTCAGAATCTAACTGGGTTCTCTGACATTTCCAGAATAAAGGATATTTTGAGAGGTCAAACAGCATAAATCATCATAAACTTTGCAATCAATCCGCGGTCCACCTGCGTGCTGCACCGTGTGGAAGGGATCCATACCACGGATTCTGCAACCCGTTGCACCACTACTATCCATGGTTGTGTGGGGATTTAATTCTTGCATGTTGTGTTGTTCCCCATGTCTGCGTGGGTTCTCTCCGGGTGCTCTGGCTTCCTCCCACCGTCCAAAGACATGCGGCCTAGGTTGATTGGTGACCCTAATTTTTCCTTAGGTGTGGGTGTGTGTGGTTGTCTGTCTATGTGTGGCCCTGCGATGGACTGGTTACCTGTCCAGGGTGTACCCCGCCTTTCGCCCAATGTCAGCTGGGTTTGGCGCCAGGCCCGCGACAGTGTATGCAGGAAAAGCTGTTGACGATGGATGGATGGATGGATGTTTTGTTGTGCATGATCACAGCCCCTATAGTGGGTACGGAAAGTATTCAGACCCCTTTAAATTTTTCACTCTTTGTTTCATTGCAGCCATTTTCCAAAAATCAAAAAAGTTCATTTTATTTCTCAGTAATGTACACTCAGCACCCCATCTTGACAGAAAAAAACAGAAATGTAGAAATTTTTGCAAATTTATTAAAAAAGACAAACTGAAATATCACATGGTCATAAGTATTCAGACCCTTTGCTCAGTATTTAGTAGAAGCACCCTTTTGATCTAATACAGCCATGAGTCGTTTTGGGAAAGATGCAACAAGTTTTTCACATCTGGATTTGGGTATCCTCTGCCATTCCTCCTTGCAGATCCTCTCCAGTTCTGTCAGGTTGGATGGTAAACGTTGGTGGACAGCCATTTTCAGGCCTCTCCAGAGATGCTCAATTGGGTTTAAGTCAGGGCTCTGGCTGGGCCATTCAAGAACAGCCACGGAGTTGTTGTGAAGCCACTCCTTCGTTATTTTAGCGCTGTGCTTAGGGTCATTGTCTTGTTGGAAGGTAAACCTTCGGCCCAGTCTGAGGTCCAGAGCACTCTGGAAAAGGTTTTCGTCCAGGATATCCCTGTACTTGGCCGCATTCATCTTTCCCTCGATTTCAACCAGTCGTCCTGTCCCTGCAGCTGAAAAACACCCCCACAGCATGATGCTGCCACCACCATGCTTCACTGTTGAGACTGTATTGGACAGGTGATGAGCAGTGCCTGGTTTTCTCCCCACATACCGCTTAGAATTAAGGCCAAAAAGTTCTATCTTGGTCTCATCAGACCAGAGGATCTTATTTATCACCATCTTGGAGTCCTTCAGGTGTTTTTTAGCAAACTCCATGCGGGCTTTCATGTGTCTTGCACTGAGGAGAGGCTTCCGTCGGGCCGCTCTGCCATAAAGCTCCGACTGGTGGATTGCTGCAGTGATGGTTGACTTACTACAACTTTCTCCCATCTCCCGACTGCATCTCTGGAGCACACAGTGACCTTTGGGTTCTTCTTTACCTCTCTCACCAAGGCTCTTCTCCCCCGATAGCTCAGTTTGGCCGGACGGCCAGCTCTAGGAAGGGTTCTGGTCGTCCCAAACGTCTTCCATTTGAGGATTATGGAGGCCACTGTGCTCTTAGGAACCTTAAGTGCAGCAGAAATTTTTTTGTAACCTTGGCCAGATCTGTGCCTTGCCACAATTCTGTCTCTGAGCTCTTCAGGCAGTTCCTATGACCTCATGATTCTCATTTGCTCTGACATGCACTGTGAGCTGTAAGGTCTTATATAGACAGGTGTGTGGCTTTCCTAATCAAGTCCAATCAGTATAATCAAACACAGCTGGACTCCAATGAAGGTGTAGAACCATCTCAAGGATGATCAGAAGAAATAGACAGCACCTGAGTTAAATATGAGTGTCACGGCAAAGGGTCTGAATACTTATGACCATGTGATATTTCAGTTTTTCTTTTTTAATAAATTTGCAAAAATTTCTACATTTCTGTTTTTTTCTGTCAAGATGGGGTGCTGAGTGTACATTACTGAGAAATAAAATGAACTTTTTTGATTTTTGGAAAATGGCTGCAATGAAACAAAGAATGAAAAATTTAAAGGGGTCTGAATACTTTCCGTACCCACTGTATGTGTCCACATGAGGAAAAATGTCTAGACTAGTTGAACTTGATGAGTTTATTTTTTTAAGTAGCCCATTAAAATATTCCTGCAAATGCAGTGAAGAAGCTGATTATCTGTAATTTAGCTATTTCTACAATTGTTTTCCTTTTTAAATCTCCATGAAGGTGTTTATAAGATCACTTTAAAATATCACTTTTGCTGCCCACCAACTTTTGTTACCTGTGCCTTTTCTTATGGAGACAGCCAACCAAACAGCTTGCTTTGCTGTAGCACAGGCTGCCAATACAATCTGATTATTCCTGAAGCATCTAAATAATCTTCACAACGCAAAGAAATATTGTGGCAGTAACACGAGAGCAGCCCGTTGTTGAAGCAGGTATACCTGCATACAGAAGAAGTCATGCATAAAGCCCAACAGGACTGTTTTATCCAACATATTCTGTCTCTTTCTGTGCATCTCAAAAATAAATAACAGCTGGTAGCTCCTGAGTGAAAGATTAGTTTCACCGGTGACATTCGCTATAAAACAAATCGATGCTACACCGATGTGTATTAAAGAAAAGAAACAGGCTAATGTCCAAAGCGACGTTCTGTTCACATTTTTAATATATCTTAGTCAATGCACTTGCCGACTTGTGAAAGAGCGACGCAAGCTGCAGTGCCATGGTGTGCGCTCACTGGATTTCAGTTGTAGTAGAACAATAAAGCATTAAATTGAAAAGATATTTGCCTGATTTTCTAAATGTTTGCATCTGCCCAGCTCTGTGACTGTGACAAGCGCCCGACTTATGGGTAACTGCGCACACACAGCTTGAATGAGCTCATTTCGGTTAATGAAGCAAAATGCAGATTACAGACTAGTTCAGTTATAAAAGGTATGAATGGAAAATGTAGCGAAATTAAGACTACTCCTACATTAGATGTACCCACCCCTGCTGCAGATATCATCACTGCTGCCTTCAGCTAGAAGTAACAGCAGCACAAAAGAAAAGTCTGTAATATTGTGGCACTTTGCTGCACCGGCCTCGAGCAACTTTTTTCCCCCTCCCTCAACATTTCTATAGGCTACATTTTGTCCGCGACTGATGTGTAGTGTTGAGTGATTGGTCACTTAGTAAACCGCCTCCTATGAGCCAGTTCCGAAATCGCCTGAGCCAGGAAGGCAATGCGGAATAAAACTTTACATTAGGAAAGAGGGGGGAGGGAGGGGCAAAACATAGATTTTGAAGTGAAATATGTAAAATGCCTCCTCTGCCTATCAGGTGATAAACCTCACCACAAATCCACAAGTTAATTCCAGCGCCTCTGATAAAGTGCAGCTCACAGCTTCAGGTGGAGCAGAGAGGACAGACACAGAGCTACAGCTGGATCATCTTATTCTCCGCTAATGTGCAGGAGAATAAATAATAACAAAATTCTCTCGCTCGCTCCCTCGCGCATAACGTTAGTTAAGCGAGTAAAGTTCAATTTTCGGCCTTTTGTTGTTTGTTTTTTGAAACAAGAGATCTGGGGCTTTTAAAAAAACATCCAGCCCAGGGATAACGACGCCGCTGATCACCTGGATGTGATTTCACTCATCAGTGTCACTGAGAAATTCTGGTCAGACATGTTGGAGTTCATTCAGAATCATCTCATTCCGGATATTTCGTTTTGTTTTAAGGATGTTTTCTTTTTCAGGGAGGATTAAAAAAAAAAGGACTATATTTCATTAAAAAATCTGTTATTCTTACCAAATTTCATATCCACAAATGTACTGGTTCTAAACCAGCCTGTCTTTATGGTTGAACTAGATGCATATATGGACTCAATAAAATAGTCAAAAAACTGCAAAGCTCAAAGGACTGTACAACTATATTCAACACTTATGACCTCATGGAAGTGACTGATACTGGAACTTGAGAACTCAAGGTGATGCTCTAACCTGGACTTTCTCGCCAGGAAGCCTTAATGAATGTTAAATTATTTTTGTACTCCTGGACAATGAAATGTATGTCGTTATATGTTGTGTCCTTTTATGTTGTATGTACATGATGACATTCTCAAAAAAGTAAAGTGAAAAAAGAAAATAGGAATTCATACGCACACATTTTGATTTGTACAAGTTTTAATATTTTAAGATGTATTTAGGTTAAGGGGTTTATAAGAATTTCCTTTTTACAAATTCATAATAACTTGAAATTGTATTTTATTTGGTCACTTCTGAGCGATGCACTTAGTTTTATTTATGCTACTTGTGCCAAAAGCAGTCCAGTCAGTGTATTTTTACTGATATGTGGACGTTGATAAAGTTATTGTTCTCAGCAGGTCCAAAGAGAAACCACATTAAAAGACAAATACACTCAGCCTCCAATTTATTCTGTACCTATCTTCTAACATACCTTAAACTAATGCAGTTAATTTAATAGTCACAAAACTTGTTCTGGATTTAAAGTTAGATCTGCTTGTAATGAAGCTGTCCTGCAGTACATCCTCCTTCGTGGAGGATGTTCAGTTTGGATTTTGAGGAGCTGCTGAACTGAACTAGAAACACATCTTCTTAAACACACACAAATCCTCATTTACAAACAGGGAAGGAATAAACAAAAACATCATCATGTTAAATTTATAATTGTAATGGTCCTTTATAGCTGATGTGTCACTTGTTGTCAATTGAAATTTGTGTTCACAGGAGCATCGCCAGAACCATATGTCACAACGCTTGATGAAACGAAGGACTGGGAGCTGCTGCAGTGTGTTGTTCGAGGTGCTTTCCCAAAACCTACAGTAGAGTGGCAGGACAGTGCTGGAAACAAACTTCATGCTGATGAGCCACAGGTCTCAGAAAGAGGAGGCCGCTTCTACATCACCCTCAACACTACTGTAACCAAGACCGACCGGTATCGCTGTGTAGCCACACAGGAGAAAATCAAACATCAGATTGATGCTGAGATTTATGTGCTTATCAATGGTAAGATTCTTCCCAGTAATATATTTACTTTCAAATAATTTGAATTGTTTGTTTCATTAGTTTTGTTGTGAACACAAAGCAGATTGGGATGAAGACGTCTGCACAAGTTGAAAAATTTCAAACTGAAAATAAGATTCACACTTATACTGAGACTCTGAGACTTCATTAATCTACAGAAATGAGAGGAAGAATGATATGATGATGATTATTACAAAATAATATAATATTGATAAATGATAAGTCACAGCAATAACAATGTTACAATTAGTGGCCCAGAGTCTGTTAGGCAGCATTAATACATATTTGGTGCTTTCACACCTGTATTTGGGTTAATTTAATCCTCCAAGGGGATGAAATTATACAGGATGATCATTTTAGTACTGGTCCGTTTCCAGTTCACACTGACTTCTAACAAATGATCCAAGAGGAGTAAACAAGTTATACAGACTGACAGGTAAATCATTGATTGGATAGTTCTGGCAACTGTCATTCTGCATCATCGGGACCCACGTGAGGAAATCAAGCTCAGCTGACTGACAGCAGTTTTCATTTTAATATTTCTGATGTGTTTATTTATAACAAAATACTACGCCTTACACCAAAACAGCAAGGGAAAAGTACATTACACAAAATATAACGTAATGGGCGGATCTTATACCCGCAGAGGTGATTACAGCCAGCGGCCTGCTTACTTTAGCTAAACAAATCCTAAATAAACCAGATAAACACTCAACCTGCCCCTGTGTAGGCTTGAAAAAATGTACATTGACGAAACAAAAGTCCATGTTGTAGCAGTCTGTGTGCATATTGTAATTTATTTTACCATTAGTTTGGCCGAATATCCACAACTCTTGTTCTTGATTAGGGATCATTCAGAGCACCTGTTGCACTGACTCCTCAGCAGGGATTAAATGCAGCTCAATCAAGGATGTGGCAAAGCCCATTCTCGAAGACATAAGAAGAGGGGCATACCTACACATCGGTGGCTCTCGTGAAGCATTCTGAACCCTACGCAATGTGTGCAGAACTCAATCCTTAGAAAAAGCCAGTCTATATCTCTGTCTTTTGAGGCCTGCTGAGATTCCTGTCTCTTTTATTTATTGTGGAATACAAAAAAAGAGTACTTTGGCCTTTAGTTTATAGTGGACATAGAGCCCATAGTGCCTAAAGCAGTCTTGGTATTATTTATAAAAAAATATAACCATACAATTACCTGCTGCCTGCAAGCTCTATTGGTTGTCATTTAAAACTTCCTTCCCACTCATTCTTTTTTGTTAGCTATTTGAAGAGGCATTTTTTCCAATAAAATACTTGTTAAACCTTTCCCCAAGCGGAATACTTTATTTTGACTTATTATGTGGTCAGGAACCAGGCCTCCGTCATCTTTCACCTGAGGCCTGTGAAAACAACATGTATTAGAGATAAATCAGCGTTCACGTCAGGAAGCGTACACAGGTATTCGTTGCTGGAGGCTCGGCCGGACTCCGACCCATCAAACAAGCATTGCAAACATAGTTTCCCGCACACATTTAACCCCCAAAACCCCAATGTCCCAGCAGATCAAATTTTTATTCATATAACTTAAATTGTCTGGATTGAAATAGATTTCCTCCTCAGTAAGAAAAAAACAAAAACAACACACCAGTCAATAATATTTCACAGTTAACTTACGCAACCTCGCCACAGTCTGTTTAGCTGATTGGATGATGTTCGTCTAGCAAGCCTGTAACACTGAACCCACTAAACTCCAACCGCTTCACCTGTTGCACTCCAGAGTTCCCACTAAATGTCACTTCCCACTCTCCTTTTAAAACCTATCCAGTGGCAAAACAATAATGAAAAAATAATAATACATAAAGTCCATATAACAATCCGTGATAACACCACAGGCCTCTGATATAACAGTTTCTTTTTTACATGTGAAGGAAAAACAATACACAAAAAGCTGTTCACCATCACATTAAAAGCCCTACATGAAGGTAGTATAGGTGACTATTACATATTTATGTTGTTTGGTGTCACAAAGAGCTCACCAAGAAATAATTATCACTGGTCCGTTCGGTCTGGCAGTTAACCCTGGCTCATTCGTGGTTTGATGTCCTCTATGTTACAGTTGGTGTAACTAACCCACGTGGCTGGCCTCCGACTCGTTGTCGTTGGGAGGAGTGAAGTTAACGTTAATTTGTCAGAAATAAAGCCTGACTTAAACGGTATGATAACTTTAACAAAGAAAAGAAAATGTAACTTCAACAAAGGTCCTCGTGAATATGGCTAAGTACGTTGCTGGAAGACAAAGAATATTTCACGGACAATGCCGAGCCGAAATCTTGGGCGTTGGTGTTGCTTGGAAACGGAGAAGCAGCAGATGGTGCTGTGTTTTTGTTGCCTGGGGCGTGCTTTGTTTCCCCCGAGACTTCTGTGTCTTAACTTTAAGTTCTTAAAGTCTATTTGCGTGTTTTTAATCAAATACCTTTCCACAATCAACTCTTGTAAATGTCTTGATTTTAAGTATTTGATAAAAGTAAAAGTTATTGTAAATCGTCCATAACAATTATAGTTACCATTTTAAAAAAAAAACATTTCATAGTGATCACCGCAGATGAAGGAGCATCTTAACTAAACGTAACAGGGGAATACTGATTGTTAAACATCTTTACTTAGAAAATATGGACATGGCAAGAGATTACAAACATTAAAACACAGAGCAAACCTTTCACCCCCTCCTTTGGGGTACTTTAGCTGTCTGTTGAGGGTTGATATATCAACCCCCTTGACAAAATCTGCTCTGACATTCAATGTGGTTACCAAAGGATTTGCATAAATATATACATTCTTCAATTATAAGAATTTCTGAACAGGTTTGACGATCAGCAGATGGATTTATTACCTTACATTTATTCATTTAGCTGATGCTTTTATCCAAAGTGACTTACAATTGCTACATGTAAGAGTTCAATTGCTCCATGTCTGGAACAACTAGGGGTTAAGTGTCTTGCTCAATGGTTGGGTCACGGTGGGGGTTTGAATCCTGGTCTCTCACACCAAAGGTAGGCATTTTATCCTTTGCGCCATTTTAATAGTTTGGCTTTTGAAATAATGCTAAAATCACACATCCACTGTCATAAAATCCTGTGGTTCGTTAGTTCATTTGTTTTCACATCACAAGCGACCCGCACTAGAGTCCGACCCTCCTTTTAAATCGGGTCTCGCTGTGGTTGGTTGGTCAGTTTTATTGACAGCTTTGACATAAGCCCAAGGAAAGGCAAGTTTATTTGTATAGCACATTTCAACAACAAGGCAATTCAAAATGCTTTACACAATAACACAAAAGCAACCGGGAAATATAAAAAAGTTTAAAAGCAACATAGGGAAATTGAAAAAAAAATACGCATTAAAACAGGTTAAAACAGGACAGTAAAAGTTAGAGTGCAGTGTGCTATCAGGGTTAAAAGAGTTAAATGGAAAATAAAAACAGGCTGAGGGGTTGAGCAAATAATTGAGTTACAAGTATTTTGAAAAGAAAATAAACAGAGAAGTACACTTAATCTGCTCTCTCTAGCCAGTCTGTACTCGGGTCCATGGCAATCTTTGGGTCCACTGAAACTCCCAAAACCTTCGGACACTACAGAGAAACCAGGACATGTCTGTCTGCAGGCCACTTGGATCCAGTTATACTCTGGACCCACCTGCACGTTTACAGGTGGACAGATGTTCTTGCAAATCACTCGGGCGCGAGATTTAAGACCACTTCCTTCACTCTGTTCAATCTCACTCTCATTATCTTTTCACTCAGTTACCTACTCATTTCTCACCGTGTAGATATTTAATTTAAAAGAACTGACAGTTTCAGCAGGCTTCCAACTGTACAGAGAGGACCGCGACACAGAACTCTCCGGCAAAACAAAAGGTGGAGGTGTCTTTTTTTATATTAACAATGGCTGGTGTACCGACGTGGCAGTGATTCTGCAGCACTGTTCACATATCTGGAATCGACTACTGTTTCATCTCGTGTCGGGTACAGACCTGGCACGTCGCACATATTTGTTGTTGATTGTTAATCTTTGTTGTTGTATATTTTTATGTTGTCAGTTTATATATTTCTATGTAATATACAATATTCTCTTCCGTTGCGTTACTTCTGCATGGCACAGAACCAGAATAATACTCATGTATATATCTAGCAGGTCTAGACTGTTTTCTTGTGATGTTATTTACAGAGACCCAACAATTCACACCATGAGCAAGCACTAGGAGACAGAAGCAAGGAAAAACTCCCTTTAAGAGGGAGAAACCTTGAACAGAATCTTAACTCAGGGTGGGTGGCCATTTGAGAGGGAGAGAGGACTATGAGGGGTAGGGGCCAACACAATATCCACCCAGAAATACAGACAGTAAAGGTAATAGTGGACTAGTAATGCTAATTGTAGTAGAGGGCGTTGATTTTACTGAAAGCCAAAGCAGAGAAGCTAAAACAGGAGAAACGTGATCTCTTTTTCAAACGTTTTAATGGACTCTTTCAGTCTGATAATAAGGAGCTGCAGTAATCCAGCCTAGAAGTAACACATGTGTGGACTAAGGACTGTGGTACAAAGACTGTTAATAAACACAGATTGATCACATCTAGTAAAGAAATGCTAACTGAGGATAAACCACCTTTAAGCAGCCTAGGACGGGGTCTAAGAGGCAAGTTGATGGTTTAGATGAAGAAATCATTGAAGTTAGTTGGTGAAGATCGATGGGAGCAAAGTCTAAATATAAATGTGTTTCTCACCCCTAAAATCTAGTGACTCCGGCTATGGCACGTTATGGCTGTGCCGCGGTTGCTGGAGCTAATCACGGCCATTATAGTCAATGCTTGTGAGTCCACCAGAAGCGTCCCAGAAGCAGCTCTCCACTCCACTCCACAGAGAATAGGTAGCAGGTATATTTTTGCCGCTAGCCGTGTCCAGCAGCACAGAGTAGATCGAACCAAGCAAGAAGACTCAGACCGGCAGAGAGAATCTGGTCAATTTTCAAAATAAAACCCCCTGTGAAGACTCCCGTTTGTAAAACAACAATAAACACGGACACCAAAAGAAATTAACTACGTAGCACAAACTGCGAACACTGATTACCAAATCAACAAAATCTGAACATGTCAGCAAAATCAGGCAGGCAAAATGCTCTGATTCTGAAATGCTTCTTGTCGAAAATGCAGCCTGAAGTTGACAGAATGAAACGGGGTCACATAGAGTTGTGAAGAAGGTAGTAGAAGCACAAAAAGGACAAATTAATAAGTCAATAACGTGGGGCAGGTTGCACGCTGCTGAAAGCTTCTGAGACGCTTCCAGTGGTTAACCCGCTGGGCTATGGACATAACAAAACGGTGACGCAGCCATAATGTGCCCTGATGACGGTCCACACTCACTGAATCTGAGCAGGAATCATTCTCCTCTGATTCTGTAACCAGGAGTTCAATGTTCACCACTTCCCACATTTACTAACATTTGGCCCGTGGTTTGTATTAAATGCTTCAATCAATCACAGGTGCTGTATGATATAAGCGTAAGGCTGTAGCATAGAGGACACAAAATGGCAGCTGTGATAAAAGCCAGATGTGGTTCTGAGCCATGATCCAGAGTCCATAGTGGCCTCGGTTCAAGTGCAATTTATACTTCTGCGTCAAATTGACAGCGTAGCCTCTGCATAGCCCCCTAACCTACGCCGTCACCTATGGCGTAGCCTGACGTGCACGTCTTCAAAAATGTAACTACACGTCGAGTCGACGCGGACCGTAAGCTCTGTGATTGGTCGGCTGGGTAACCTCGCAATGCCTCCAAGCAGACAGGAAGTGCCTGTGCTTTGAAGTAACTTTTACTAGTGGCCAAAACGGCGTCTGTAACACGGTGGATCAACATATTTAGCAACAGTCACATGTAAACAGGCTGAAGTAGAGGCGGCAGGACAGAGATTCAAACCTTCTTCCTACTGATGAGCAGCACGTCTCAGAAAGAGGACGATGCTACGACATTACCCTCCTCACTACTGAGACCAGAACCAGAACCAACCTCTTAGCTGTGGAGCCCAGCAGGAGGCGACTGGCCATAAGATCAATGCTAACATCACTGTTCCTGCTGAGACTCATCCCAGTGCTGTTTGGATCTGCTGACAGTTTTAGCTTCTAGATTTCAGGAGCGTGCACACCTTTAGATGTTCTTTGTGTCGGCTGTGATGTTCAACCTGCTGTTTATGATGTGCAGCTACGTTCTGAGAGTTATCCGGCATTCAGACCAAACGCAGATTTAATCCTTGCGACACTTTCCTTGCGTGAGTACATTTGCTGCAAGTGTTCACACACAACGCGAGAACATGATTACAACCTACGAAAATTCCTCTTCCGGAAAAGAAGAGATGAGGAGCTACTTCGACATAAACCACATCTCCCATCACTGTCATTATTTACTGTCGACCATGACCGATGTTCATAGGATTGCAGTTTGTACATGTTGTGGATGTCTGAGGCACGCCGGATAAACAAACGCCACCATGTTGGGTTCATGCTACCATCAGGAGGTGCACACAGCTTGGTGAATTTCACCGCCTTCTCCAGGAATTCCGTCTGGATGACTGCCGCTTCCAGGGCTAGCTGGGGCTGATAATTATCTTTTCCTCCATTTTGACTGGCTGTTCAGTTCTGTGGCCTGTAGTACAAAGGGAGTTAAACCTACTCAGAGTTAAGTCGTGGTTATCAGGCAAACTCAGGGTTGACAAACTCTGACCGCCTACACTGGAGTTAAACGGTACTACGATGGTGGGTAAGATGTTGGTTAGTTGAGTCTGTGTTAACCCGGTGTTAACTTAATCGGAGTTGGTGCACTTTCTCACAAAAAGGGTGTGTCCGGCTGTGTAGACAGAGGTTTTCACAACAGCGCACGCTCTGTATTTTCCCCAGTAGAATGCACGTTGAATGTGTCAGGATTTGAGGAGTTTAAAGACCTGTTTACGGCCAAATCTAACACCGTCGCGGCCGACAAAGCCAGGGAGGCTTGTTGGCATTGCATTGAGTAAATTTGTAGCCTAATTATGTTCACAGTGTTCTTATTGTATGTATTTTAGTGGCTCTTCTTTTATGTGTAATATGATTAAGATGTAAAGGTAGAACTGCACATGAGGTCCATTGTAATAGAAAAAAAGGAGCCAGCGGAGAGGGTTAATAATCCGAGACAGAATTTAATTTCCAAGATTAAACTACAAGTATAAAAAACTTGAATATTCTCTGACATTATAGTCACACACTTATGCGAGAAACTTCACTTTGCAAGGCTGCAACATCACACACGTCTGTCGTGTATTATGCATGCATTGGAAAGTTATATTAAACTTTGCAATCGGATTTAGCAGTGAGGAAATACTCTTGAGTTTTGCGCATAATCACTATCATGCACCTCGGAGACTTTGCCTTTGATTGGGCGTATTCAGAATACAACAGAGTGATTTTTGATTTTTTATGACATTCATTTCAGGGAATTTCTGATTTTTCTTCTTGTTAGTTTCAAGCTTTCATTTAGGATTTTTTTTTCTTGGTTATTAACCCCCACCCTGGCTCCCAATTTTTGGACACGTAAAATAGTCAATCTAAATATGTGAAAACACAATTCACTTATAGCCTACAGATGGGCTACATCTAAGAAACTTTCCTGTTAATTAACTAAGATTCCTCTCTAAAATCCCCGAGGATGCAGGGCTCTCTGTGTGAACATAATGCTGTTCAGAACTTCATTGCAACCGCACTGGAGAAAATCAGGATGAAACCTAAACATATTTTATGCAGTGGTGTGTATTAATATCCTACTTCTCATCATTAACACTTACAGATGTGGTGTATAGTCCATGTGCAGGGTAACCTCGAGATAACCACGAACAAAACCTGCTCGGAGCAGTTTAGAGATGCAGGGTAAATTGCCATGGCAACAGACCTCGGGAAACATCTTTCCACCTTTCATACGTCACGAAATTCCTCCTGAAATACCCCGCTTCGTAGTACAGGCCATTGGTCTGTTCTTCTGCTGTTGTGTTTGGAATGTTGTGTTTATGTGAAAACTGGAAAGGGAGGGATTCGTCAACGTCAGTATGTTGGCGACGTCCGGACCATCTCAACACTGATAGGCTATCGCAACACAGCTTCAAATTTTTAACTCAAGCGAAGGTCCTTCACGTTGCAGGCAGCGCCCCCTTCCTAACGCCCGACACGAAATCATGGCTATACGCTTCTTTGCATTGAGTTTGTATGTAAACGCACCGTCCCGAACACTCACTTCGCTTTTTGTCTGAAAGCACCTTAACATTCACTTTTTATGATCTGTTTCAGGGTCTTCCAAAGAGTCCTCCACTGGATGGATAGTTGCTGCAGTTCTTGCTGTTGTTGTTGTTGTTGTAGTTGTTGTAGCTGTGCTTTACATGCATCACATCAGATCAGGTAAGTTAAAATAATGTATTGTATCAACATAATCATGATAAACAGTAGGATCAAGGCTGGAGACATTTACTTTGTTTTCCTTCCTGCAGGTTCAGGTTCAACTTCAGGGACAATATGATCCTGGCGGGCATCTACTGGATTCAAAAGCTTAACTAGCTGTATGTGCAGTGCTGTTGGCTGCAACTGTGCATTTCTATTTCTGTTTTGTGAGTCCTAGTTTGAGTTTTAGACTGTATGACGTTGAGGAGATTTTGACTTGGTTAGGATTAGGGTTGTGGTTGGGCACATAGTTGTGATGGTGGCAAGATGAAAGTGAGGTTGAGGTGCTGAATGTGCATGAAGCTAATTCTGCTTTCATACGGAAGCATGGACAGAAACATGAGTTCACTGAACTAAAGCTGTTATGCTGTAAATATAAATATTTTGTAGCTAAAGTGAAATATGTGAGGTGACTTTTTATTTTTATATTTGTGTTATTGACATTATTTGGTTCAGGCCTGTATTGCTTTTTTAATTTCTTAAGGTGCAAAGCCAGAGTCTGTCAGGTACAGGTACACATTGAACTTTACACTTAGTGTCCACATTTAGCTAAAACTAATGCAGTCTAACAGTCCTACCATAAATTCCCTTTATTTGAGTTCATGCTGCTGACTGTGATATTTGAGTTCTCTGAAAGTTCATGTATGTTGATGTTGAACTGATGATGAACTTGTATCGTGTCATTTCCTGCAGAGCTGAATCATTTCTGTCCAAACGTTTGAATAAAACATGAAAAATGTCAAACTGTATGTTGTGGCTGTTTTTGATGTTTCTGTCTGTTCAAACTCTGAGAAAAAGAAAGAAAAAGAAAGTGATTTTACTGTGTTGGACCGATTGAAGTAAAATACAGTAGTTTCACATTGGTGGAATGTAACTAAGTTTATTTACTCAAGTATTTTATTTTGATGCAGCGGTGTAGTTTTTGCTCCACTACATTTATCCGACAGCTTTAGTAACTTTTCAGATTACAGTTTTCATCCCCTTCCTATCCAGTGAAAACCAAGTATCTCCTGAGGTGTTGATTTTACTTTTTGTGACAAACTGCAGGATGAAGAGTTCCTTCATGAGCTGAAAGAGTCGTCCTCCTTCTGAAGCTAAAGAAACTATTTAAACCCAACATGGATCAGCTGGAAAATGCATCGACACAAAGCTGAAAACAGGCTGTTTTTCTGACTATAGAGATACCGGTTCTCACAGGACAGGCACACAACAAACATGATTCATTGCTGTAGATGAAACTACCCAACAGGAGTAAAAATGAGCTCAACTATAAACATCTATAACAGGAAAATACACCACAAGAGGCAGAAAAATTTCATATTAAAGATTTTTAACCAGCTCATTGAACTTACTGTAGAAACACATATTTTTATGTCTTAAAACATATCTGTACAGGATCTTTGACTATTTTGTTACTTAACTGGAAAAGTCAACAAAGAAGACATCAATACGTGTTCAAACAGTTCCAGACGTCACAAGTGAATCCAGGATCTGTGACTGTTCTTCTCTGGACCTCCATGAAGCCATCAGACCTGGTTTCAGTGTTAAATATCTGCAAAGTCTTAATAAAGAAAACCAGGATTTCCAAAACATTTTAAGTCAGATTAAATTCTTCAGAGCAGCAGATCCCAGCCCGGGAATCTCTGGGGAATGAATTATCATTTTAGTCCCCCTGTTCTGGAGGTTGTCAACATGGACATTAAAACAATAACTCCACAGTCAAAGTCAATACAGATTATAGACAGCAGTTCACCAAAGTCATCAGAAAAGGTTGAACTTTATGAAACAGAAAGTAAAATATAATAATCAGAACTGGAATAGAATAAGACATCAATGATAGAAACACTCATACTTTACAGATGGTGGCATTTTCAACATGTTCATTCATCTGGAATAGTAATGTGTTGATGCTCATTTTGTCTCGTGATGAGAGAGTTATTCTGATTGGTCAGTAGTGAGACTGTCAACATTAGCTGAACCTTAAAATGGTACACAAGGAATTTAATACTGCACCTTCATAAAGCTGCAGGACTCATAAAAGACAGATTTTTATTCATGATCACCCAAAATGATGATGATTAAGTGTTAAAAATCTTCACTTACTGCTCACTAATTCCATAATGCAACTGGATAGAGTCTTTTGTCAGGTCCTCCTTGCCGAGTGTATATGTTTGTGTATAAGTAGATGTAGAGGATGTAACAACACGCAGCCCTGTGGGACCCTGGTCTTTAAAACAATGTTACTGGATTTAAGACCATTCAGTCTGACGTGTTGGGTTTGTCCTTTAAAAAAGTTTTAATCCATAAAACCAGTGTTGTGCAGAAGTGTGTTTGTGTTTACTGGATTAAAAGCAGATGCAAAGTTCATGAATTAAATCCTGACATACGAGTGATTTGAGGTGCTGAGGGTGACGGCTGCTGTATCCAGGAGAATTAGACCGGCATCCTCAACTCCCTGTTTTTCCTGGTAGTCAAACTGGAGCGGGTCCAGACTCTCCGCCACAGTGGAGGTAAAAGCTCCAACACAACCACCCTCTCCATTTGCAGAGGAGGGAGGTGAGAGAGCCACAGGCCTGAATATGTTGTTGGCTTTGGCTTGTGGCTTTTTTGGGAATAGGGATGATGGTCGTCTCCTTCCAGGAGCTGGGTTAAATCTGATGACATCACTGTGACATAATCAAGGTTATTCCATCAGACTTTAAAAAGCTCCTGTCAGAACTGCAGAAGACATTATACAACTGTTTCAGCAGGCTGAGTGGCTCACTCAGGCTCATTCCTGAAAGAGGTGGGAGGAGTGCCTCTACATCCTGTTGTTAACAGATTATTTCTGGGGGTGAGTAGTTTTACATTACAAATAAATTTAACTTTATTATATACTTTATATAAAAAGAAAACAATAAAGCTCACCTGGCTGTTGGTGGGATCGAACCTTTGACCTTAAAGCTTCTGCAGCCACTAACCAACATACGTCCATATGGTTACAGTTCACCTTTTGTTAAACAGGTGAAAACACGTTCTTTGGAATTATAGTGCAGTAACATTTTTCAGCTGTTATTCCCTGAGTTAGCAAATAACCTTCAATTTGGTAATATTACTTCTGCAAACGTGTCTGTATGAATGTGCGTGTTATTTTTCTCAAGCTTCTGCTTCTGAAACAAAATATAAAGAAAGAAATGTGTCCCAGGCCTAGTCCACACGGACTCTTGGAGACAGAGTAAGTTGTTAGAACTCATGTGTGTATATATAGTGTTTCTTAACGCATATATAAAATAGTGGCCAGTGGAGGGGTTTAAAATAAGTTGCTTACACTAAACTATATAAGAACTTCAACATATAGCTTAAAACATTAAGATAGTAAATATTACAGTTCAGCGCAGCCCCGACCCACAAGAAGTTTAGAGTCAGGAAACATGCAGATTCAACACACATTGGACTTACTGCACAAAAATATGCTCTTATTCCAGCATCCGTTGCACTATTTCACTACACTAGTGTCTCGTTGTCTTGAAGTTTGCAAATGTTTTTGCTTATGGTTGTGGGTCTGTGTTTAATTTTAATTGCAAACTGTAGTTGAGAGTCAAACTCCTCTTATGTCTTCACATACCTGACGATTAAAGGTGATTCTGAACTTACACAGTTTCACTTTATGAGCTTTTCAGAGAAGAGCATTGTCTTAGTAACAAATCATATTTGAACTCACATCTTACAGTTTGTCACCAGACCGACACACAACACGCTGTGGATTGACAGTAAAACTGAAACTGTGCAGTGAACAGGTCAGTGTGGCAGAATGACGATAAAGTCCTGCTCTGAGGAGGAGTGTTGACACACAAGCTAAACTGTTCTGCAGCATTCATGAGTCGTAATTACTGTTTGTGGAGATTACGCTTTCATTCTGAAGGATTTTGTGTCTGACGTGTTGCGGTGGTTACAGCTTGGAAACAGGACATGAATTAAGTTGCTAGTTTAGTAGAAATCCTTATCAGGATAATATAATATGGGGGGTCAAAAAAGAGTAATTATTACTTTATTTGTTGGGGAAATTAATCTTTTTATTCACACACACACTGAAACCTGTACACATGCACCTGACATTCTTTTTAAAACCACCATGAAGTTCACATTTATGAGTAAAATATCTCAGTATCTATTGCATCAGTTGTGATATAATTTGGTACAAATTCACTTTCCTCTCAGGTTGAATTTTAATCACTCTGAAGATCCTCTGACTTTTCATCTAGCACCATCGTCAGGTTTGTCCTACACTTTGGTTCATGACCAAATACTTGCACAGCTAATGACAACTAACGACTAATATGCACATGTTATCATGCTAACAGGCTAAACACAACACCTGCTACACATCAGCATGTCTACACCGTCAGTGTGAGCGTGTCAGCATGCTGAGCCTCACAGAGCTGTTAACATGGCTGCAGCAATAATCTTTTTAATTTTAGAAAAAAAAATATGATTATGTCATGTGTACCTTTAATTGGACGTCCTTAAAAAGGTGCACATGATAAATAAATAAAAATAAATCTGTTGCAGCAGTGAAGCAGGACAGTTTGTTAGTTCTTAGTATCTTGTGAATTTAATCCATTAAATCAATACCTTAAATAAAATAAAACTGCAACTTCTCCTGATAGCTGAACGGTTTCCACAACTAAATAGGCAACCAGCAGAGACTGCAGGATGTTACTGCTCTTAATCAAGAAATAGTCCCACAGATAACCCCGTAAAACTACAGACTGTCATTTTCTCATTTCAGTTTTCATACAGATTAATGAAGCGAGATTTAACATGTTAATCAGTGACCTTTAGAGGTGCTGGCAGGTGGATTTTCTTGCCTCTGGACAGAGCCAGGCTTGCTGTTTCCAGACTTTATTATAAGCTAAGATAACCAGCTGCTTATAGACTTATATTTCAGTTTAATTCAATCTAGCTTTATTGGCATGAATGTAAAACAACAATATTGCATAAAATACAAATAAATTACAAAAGAACAACTCACTAGCAAGGACCACACAATCAACAGGTACGATTAAATGGCAGTTGCTGACTCCAAAGCGTTGTGGGGAAGCTACGACAGGGACGTGTGGGTATTTATGGAAATGCTGTATATTAACTTTATTAATCACATTTCAGTTCATTAACCACAATATAAAAAATATATATATTTACAATAAAGTAAATAAAACAGTGAAAATTTGTGTGTATGTGTTAAAAAAAATAATAATTAAATAATAAATTAAAATAAAATAAATCAATTAAACAGTAAATGTGCGTGTGTGTTAATAGACAAAAAAAATAAACAAACAACCTTTTCTTTAAGGAAAGCCCTGCTTGTTATAAAGAATATTTTTACGTGAGCACTTCCAGCTGGTTGGGAAATATTTAGGTTAATAAAGTTTTAGATCAGATATGTGAGACTGATTATCCACAACCAACAGTGAAGTTAGATAAATCAAAGATCCTGAATATTTGAACTTCCTTCTTGAGAAAGGCCCTTAATGCTGGACGCAGATTCAGCCTCAGGTTCACAATGACAGGATCTCAAATATTGACCGTGTTCGGTCAGGAGACGCGTCCTCGAGGCAGCTACATCACTCAGGACCGGCATGTTGTCGTCCCCTCTCACACCAGGACCCTGCCAGAACCAGGACCGACACAAACCAGTCTGTGAATGTGCTGCCAGCTTATAGCTTGTTTGTGAAATCTGAAACTGTGGCTTCTTTCTAAACATTAAATC